TAAACTAGTCAATCCATCACAATTGTATAACCGAAGTTTTAGGAGGGAAGTCAAATGATTCACTCCTCTGGAAACAGGAATGGAACTGAAATTGGTGCAGTCGCCGATACTTAAGCTTTTAAGAGAACGGAGATTGTACAAGCTTTGTGGCAATTCACGGAACTCTCCACAATTTAAGACCAAAAGATGTTCAAGAGAGAAATTGTTGCATAGTATCTCATCTGTAAGACAAGTGAGCTGTTTCACATCTCTGATAATAAGCATTACCAGAGATGTCAAGTTGCTGCACAAGTTCAACAATGGAATTTCACTGTCAACTCCTTCAATGCTCAATTCACGTAGGGTCTCAAATTGATTTGGAGTACTTTTTAGCAAAGGACAGTTCCTAATCGTCAACTTCTTAAGCACAGGAAACATTCTAACTCCAAGTCTGTCTCTACCAACATTTCCCTTTGGTAACAATTGCACTTCCTTCCACTCAGTAAGGCTAGGCATATCCTCCAATAATAGTTCTTTAAGTAACGGAAACACTTGGATATTGGCGTTATTGCTGCTTGATCCATTATTGTTACCATCAATACCATAAAATGTAGGTCCGATGCATTCCACCTTATGGAACCCTACCAGCTCGAGATGCTGAAGGAATTTCAGTTGACCAAGTGATGGAATTTCTTTGCACCTTTTGCAACCACTTAATTTCAACTTGACCAAATTTGGTAGCAACTCTTCACTGAACCATGAAGGAAACCTAGTCCCCAAATAGTCCACTACCGCTAAAGTTTTCAAGTTAGGATGCGGTTGAAGACCATCCAACACATACTCATCACTGGTCTCACATCCTTCTGGTTCATCATGGGACCACACATATTTCAGCTTGTAGATTTTTGGTTTCTCTTGTAGATACGCTGTTCGAGCTTCTTCTCTATTGCATAACAATTGGAGACCTCCAATCATCAATTCACCTCTCAGGTTTTTCAAATGACCTATTTCTTCTATTCGACAGCCTTTCTCTAAACCCACTTTGAAAAACTGTAGGGTCTGAAGACAAGTCAATTTCCCCATGTTAAATGGCATCTGAAAATGTTTATTATCCATACACAGAGAATTGTAATAAACGTGTCTCAAACTTATCATATGTGCCATTTCATCTGGAAGCCCCTTCAGTAAAAAGCATTTACTAACTCTCAAAGTTTGCATATTGTAGAGCTTGCAAATGGAGTTGGGCAAGGCTTTGATCCCACTGTAGGAGAGATCAAGATATCTCAAGTATATTAACTTGCCAATTGAGGCTGACAACTCCTTGATGCCTGATCTGGACAAATTTAAAACTCTCAAGAACTGAAAGCTAAATAGCACATCATTAGGTATATTGCTTCTCGAGAACAATGCGCACAAACGTCCTGGCTCATTTATCTTATCTATTTGATCAATTGGTGAGTCTAATCCAAAATATCGAACTTGAGAAGACATTTCACCAACATCTCCTTTCGGATCAAATAGTTTAGATTTTAAGATATCTCCAGCCAAATCATGCACAAGATCATGCATCTTACAGTGTGTTATAACGTTGTGCTCATCTAGCTTAACATCTTGCAGCAAGGAATTTTGCAACAAGATTTGAAAAAACTTGTGCCCAACATCTTCCATCACAATGGTCTCTTGACATGGATGGAGAAAGCCTTCTGCCATCCAGAGTTGGATTAGTTGGTCCTTTTCAAACTCAAAATCTTTTGGAAACATTGCAAAGTAAGCAAAACATTTTTTCAGGTGCGGAGATGGTAGATAAACATAGCTGAGTTTTAGAATTTTTTTAATGCTATTTTCCCCAAGATCATCTTCATGTGCAACAAGGGAGTTGCTATCAAGAATTGCCTGCCATTCATGTTTTTCCTTGTTGCGTATGAGGCCTCCCAACACACTTGCTGCCAACGGTAGACCTTGACACATTTCAACAATCCTGTTCTCTGTGATTACCATTTCCTCTGGAACTTCCCCATCAACGAATGCTCTTTGTTTGAAAATGGACCAACAATGATCATCTGCTAATTTTCCCAACATATGAAGACCTACAGCTACTGTGGATGCCACCAGTTTCATACGAGTCGTCACAAGAATGCAGTTTCCTCTGGTTGTGTTTATTCCCTTCAAAGTGTCCAAGAACTCATGCCACAATGTTGGGTCAACACGCCACAAATCATCCAGGACAAGCAAATACTTTCTTCCTGCCAGTTCATCTCGGAGCTTCTTGACTATTACATCTCTACTCTGGACCTCAAGTTTCCTCTCTGTCAATGATTCGAGGATCAGTTCAAGAAAGCTTTTTGTTTCTGACATTTCAGGTAGACACAACCAAACTCTCTTTTCAAAGTGTTTCTCGATCTGCTCATCATTAAAAATTCTCTTAGCCACAGTTGTTTTCCCTAAACCCCCCATGCCCACTATGGGAATGGTGCACAGATCAGTATCATCTCTCATGGTCAATATCTTCTCCTTTATTTCAGCAACATCCTTGTCTCTACCAACAACATCAACTACTACGGAATCTGTTTCTCGAATTGGTAGTATTTGCCGAGGAGGAACCATCAGTGATTGGAGACCGAGGTCATTGGCTAACTTATTGATAGCTCTCGACTCCTCATTGATGTTGTTGATTTTTCGAGACATTTTTCTCTTAAAATCTGTATGAGAAAAGAAATCACTGACCTTTTTCATTGGGTTGTTTCGGATCTTCACTTGTCTTTTGAGAGATTCATACCTGAATTCGTCAAACACATTTTCAGCATCTTCAGCAACTCTCTCGAGCATCTTGAGCCATTGTTCAACAGCCTGATCTTCAACTTGTCGTCTTTCAGCATCATGAATGAAAGCTTGGATCAAGGATACATTTTTCGCCAGCATTTCAAGATCTTTCTTGCAGTTCCTTAAACTTTTAACCTCCTCAATAGTGAGAGAAAGCAATTTTTCAAGCACAACTTGAACAGTAGCACCAATTACAGGATCAGCCATTATTGTTTTTGCTCCCTCACAAAGTCTTCTTCCTCTGCACCAAAGTCTTCTTTAGCTAGGAGAAAATGAATGGTAGTAATGACTCCAACAATACAACTATACAAGTATCTCTCAAACAGAAACATGGAGAAGTCAACACTTTTTATCTTTGTTTGGTATATGTAGAAAATATTGTTTATGACTAGATACAATTCCATACTTATTTAATGATGTGACAAATCTCAATTTTTAGGAAAATAGTATGATTAAATGTTATTAAGGACATCTCTAACATTTAAAATGCTAGAAATTGAAATATTGATTTTTATTTTTCAAGTATGTTTTCCTAAAAATTTACAACTTACGCGTTGTTGAATAAGTATCGGAAAAAAAAAGGGCAAACCACATAAATCCCACTAGTTTAGGTCTTAATTATTAAGATTCCCAATAGTTTCAAATATTACTTCATGTACCATATTTTATGCTTAGGATACATGAGTCTGAATCCATGAGATACATGTATCTGCCGAATTTTTAAAATTGAGATATAAAAATTTATTTATTTAAATTAATTGTTTGGAACTAATTTCCTTAATTAGAGGAGTAATTGAGGATTTTCAAAATAAATAGATAATTAATTTCATTTATTATTCTTTAAAATAGTAAAATTCATTAATATTATTAATATAAGATAAAAACATGTATATCTTGGTAATGCAATTTGATTAATTTTAAATTATTACTCTTAAACTAATAAATTCATTAATTTGATGTATCTATTATCAATACATGATGTATCCAACAAACTAAACACTTAGATACATGAGTGTCCTGCAAGTACATTCATATGTATTATAAAAGTATCTAGCATTGATTTTATGTATATATATATATATATATATTAATATTTCATGTATCTTTTATATGTATCTAGTATTAATTTGATGTATCAAGTATCAATTGCATATGTTATATCCAAAAACATGTATCTCGAATACATAGTAAACATATACATCTAATTATGTGTATCTAAATTTCATACGTTATATCCAAAAACATGTATCTCGAATACATAGTAAACATATACATCTAATTATGTGTATCTAAATTTCATACGTTATATCCAAAAACATGTATCTCGAATACATAGTAAACATATACATCTAATTATGTGTATCTAAATTTCATACGTTATATCCAAAAACATGTATCTCGAATACATAGTAAACATATACATCTAATTATGTGTATCTAAATTTCATACGTTATATCCAAAAACATGTATCTCGAATACATAGTAAACATATATATCTAATTATGTGTATCTAAATATGGAATATACAAAAAGAAGAAGCATATACATCTAATTATGTGTAT